TTGTCCATGGGGTTGCAATGGTTTGAATGTTGAATGTTTGAATGTTTAATAAATTTATATGCCGCCCAATCCCGAAGGACTCCAGGCGGCTTACATTAAAAACAATTTAAAAGAGTCCTAAAAAATTTAAAAATAGAAAGACAAGGCAAGTTAAAAAGACACAACATGCATTCAACCTTAGTGGGGCTGGACCTCATTCAAGAGGTCAACAGCCCCAGGCCTGCTGGAAAAGCCAGGTCTTAATAGACTTTTGGAAGGCCGAGAGAGAGTGGGGAGGGTCCAGATCTCTGTGGGTAGACCGTTCCATAGGGCCGGGGCAGCTACAGAGAAGGCCCCTCCCCCGAGGAGCTGCCAGACGACATTGTCTAGTCGACGGCACCCGGAGAAGGCCCATCCTGTGAGATCTTATCGGACGCTGGGAGGTATGTGGCAGAAGATGGTCTCGTAGATAAAGGGGGCGCACCCTCTCATTTGGTTGGGAGGCACAAGGCAGCCATTTCATTTGCACCTGGCAAATTGTACTGTCCTCTGATTAAATGAGTTGAAGGGTATCTGTATCCAGAGCTGGATGCAATCATCTAAAGAGGGGACCAGGACAGAGAAAACCTTTGCTGGATCAGGAAAGATAAACATAATTGGACAAAGCTGTAGCTTGCTACTTGGAGATGTAGCAATGTGCAAATATTCCTGACCTTGCTATACGTATAGATATGGTCTCAGTACTAAGAGTAGTAAACTAATTTAATTCCTTTGGCTTGGGTTTCATTGCATTGCACTTGCAATCTTTTTTATTTATTTTTTCTTTATTGGTTTTGTACTTGCAATTATAATCACTCCTGTCTTTGCTCTGCCTGCTTCTTATTCAAGCGTAGATCAAAACGTTGATTGCAGGGATGGTCGTGGCGTTTTGTTCTGCTACAGCAGAAGCGTCCCGGATGCGGAGCTCTGTCGGGTTGCTGGGTGGGCTCTCACCCTTCGAGCCCCAGAATTGCTCCTGGGGGGTCTAGGGGAGCTCTACCTTTGCCCGGCTGCTCACCTCCCCCTCTTTTCCCGAGGGGAGAGTTTTCAAGCCGCTAGACAGCTGATTTGCGCTGTTGTAGCGGCTTAGACGCGATCACGGGGCTGGCGTTCCCACAAGAACGTCCTTCAACGCCTACAGCGCCACCGGAAGTCTCTTTATTGGTTTTAATCTAATGTCTTTGTTTGATTGTTGCGAGCCACTCAAAGCCACTGAGAGTTGGGTAGCATACATATTTAATAAATTATTATTAGAAAAATTTAAAGTATGAAATCACACTGACAAATGAAGCATTGCTATCACTTTCTAGTTTAACTTGGGTATCCATGGTTGCAAAAGTGCGTGACCCGACAAAAGCGCACAGGACAAAAGCGTGCCGACAAAACCGCGTCGCTAAAACTGTGACATCAACGCGCCGACAACAGCGTGCTGACAACAGCGTGTCGACAGAAGGGCGATTTAAGTTAAGGCAAGGATTAGGGTTAGGGTTAGCGTTACGTTTAGGGTTAGGGTTAGGGTTAGGGTTACAGCACGCTTCTGTCGGCGCGCTGTTGTCGGTGCGATTCAGCACTTATTCGTCACCGTGCTTTAGAACTCGCAGTTTTGTCACCGCGGTTTAGTCGGGCGCGCTTTTGTCGGTGAACCGCAAAAGAGACACCATTCTTGAGAATAATTATGAAGCAGCCCTGTGGGATTTCTCTCCATGTCCTTCTTTTGGTTGAGCTGTACATCCATACTTTGTACCAAAGGAGAACATTTTTCTTTCCTCCCATCCTTTGCAGTGCAGCAAGACCTGTGGCACTGGCCTGCGTTTCCGTGAAGTGAAGTGTTACCAAGGAGAAACCTTAGGCCAAGGCTGTGAGTCAACGTCTAAACCTGAAGCCAGGCAAGCTTGCCAACTACAGCCATGTCCCACCGATGCTCCAGGTAAAAAGCAACGTGTCAGGGGCTCTAGCTCAAGGAAGTAGAGAGTATTGCAGCTCTTAAACCAACAGGGCCCTCGGGGTGGGTGCTGTGAAGAAGTGGACAGGGCTGTAAACCCAAGCAGTCAGTGCTTGGATCACTTGTGATGCAGTTGGAAAATTGTTGGAACCTACTCTGTGGGTGTGGCCTCCTTTGTGGGAGTGGCTTGCCACCCATGTGACCGGATATGAAATTATGAATTAGTACTTAG